GTTTATAAAAGTGCTATTGTAAATAAATCATTATTACTTGAACGCAAGTTATTGGTCCAGGTCATTTGGATAAAAGATGCTTGATCCAACTGTTATTTACAAAAATAACAATAACAGCAAAATTTTTGAAAGCACGCATCACAACTTAGACTGGGATGAGGCAGTTCTGACTATTTCCTATAACTCTGCATTCCTCAGTCTGTTCTTGAGGTGGGGAATCTTCTGTGCAGAATTTGAGAGTTTGCAAAGGAGCAGGGTGTGCATTTTAAGTTTCAATGAATTCCACCCAGTGATATTAGTGGAGCTGCTTTTTGCATTCCCCACTACACATTTTTTAGTTCCCTGTGTGTAGCATTACTTGTGCTTAGGGCTGTTGCAGAGGAATATGCAAAGCCTTGTACAGTTGGTCATGCACACATTTTTCACATGTAAGGGTGAAAAATCAGCCAGTGGTTCAGTTCCTTTACCTATTATCTAAGGAACATACAAAGTTAATAGAACATACATACTGAAACTGCTTAGTAACCCATTTTAGGTCTAAGTAAGATTTGGATTTAAAGACCAAACTGTGATCTGGACTATGTGGGGCACTTGTTGTAAGCACCTTAAAGCAGCTATGTCTTTTGCTGTTCTTGTGTGGCTGCCCGCTGCAGCTGAAATAGGATCCTGAAAAAAGAAGCATTTCCTCTAAGGTGTTCCGTACAGGCACCAGTTGGATGTCCGCAGGCAATTCAAGCCATATTTTGCCCTTGAATCCTAATCTCTGCACTGCCCTATTTTTCTTCTTTCAACCAAGTTTATTGTCTTCACTTTTACTACATTTATTTATTTTATTTGTTTATTTATCAAACTTATCCCCGCCCATCTCCCCCCAAGGGGGGACTCTGGGCGGCTACTACATTACTATTGGAGCAGGCCAGGGTTGTTGAATAGTTTATTATAAGGATTTATTAGTTGCCCAATAGGAAATGGTATTTAGGAGAAGGAAAAGCAAATCTGTAGATGCGACAGTGGAATGAATAAATACTACAAATGCTATGGGTAGAAGAGAGTCTAACGTAACAGGTTGAAAAACAAAAATCTAAAACTACTTAATGCTAAACAGTAGAAATTTAAGCTAAAAAATAAAGCCTTGAGTAGGAGGGCTATTACTGAAAAAGTCTACTCCTTAACAACTGCCCACTGTATCACTGCATGGGAATGCTAAGTGCCCTCTAGAAAGATACGTGAGATATAAAATAAGTGAGATGGCATTAATTTGTGGGTGATTTTTTGGTCCTGGTCTAATTTTTTGCTCCTGATTTCATTACAAAAATAGTAGTTAGTGAGTCAATGTTTTTCTTCCTCTGATGCCACAAACCTATGTATTTCTGATTAAATGTGCTTAAACTTATAGTATTGCCATGGTGTATGATTGCAGGCAATTTTAATGAAAGTAAATCTCACTGTGATGAATTTAATTTACTTGAGGCAAGCATGCTTTTAAGGGGCAATATTTCAATCTGCTGTATCTGGAACATTACAGTAATTAATAATCACATTTTACTTACAGCAATTGTTTTTGAATGCTTAAATCCATATTTTATTATTCAAAATTGTCCTGAAATGCTGTGCTGCACTTTTTAAGGGGAAAAGATCAGAATGAATGAGTGTGTTTTATATCTCACAGTCAATCAGTCTTCCTTCAAACACCTGTTGAGACACACATTACCTGCTCTCTCCACTTGCAATGTTTCATGGCTTGGGAATGGTCAAGATTGAGATTGCTGGAGACATAGTCTTGTTCCGTGGTTGGACATTTATGCTGGGAACACACTCTCCCTTCATAGAGATACCAACCTTCCCCTGAGATCATGATCAGGCAAATTGTTCACAAGACAAGACAACACACAAAGAATTTTAACTTCTTAGCTTTATTGATTACAATATAGCAAGGTTTTCCTTAAGCACACATATATACCCTTTTGCTCTCAAGGTTCACCAAAGAACTGATAAAGAAAACTGAGGGGACTGAGAAAGACAGGTCGCAACCTAGGTAGTGCATTTACACAGGGTGCCTTCCAACCAGGTCTCTGTCCAGGCCCTCTTTTTGTAATGTGCCAGTATTCTCCATCTCAGCTATGCTCCCATATGTTGCTCTCATTGGGCTAAATACTGCTTGAATGTGCACTTTTCATCTAGTATCTGGCTTTTGGTCTGGTCTGCTTTCAAACGTGGTCACTCACTGGTACAGTATGGTACAGTAGTATACAGAGTCATTTGGACTGAGATGGGCAGCTATAGAAATTGCATAAATAAGTAAGTAAGTAAGTACTTCCAAGGTTGCATTCCTTAGATTGCTTTCTTGCTCTGTTTGTTGTTTTTCTCAGGCAATTGCTTACATGCCCACACGACTAAATTCAGACGAAGTCAATACATTTTACAACAAAGTTTTCAAATCTGTATTTTATTATTTATTATGAGTGTGTGGCAGATTTATTGGACATGGTTTTAATGGATTATTTTAGAGGCCTTTTAATATAGTGGGGCCTTTAAAACTACACTGATAGTCACTTAGGAGGAAATACTGAAAAAGTATTACTGGTGCAGGGAATATGCATAAGTGTAACGAGCTGCCACCTGTTGATCCCAAATCCAGTAACTTTCCTTGCAACCAATACTGATTCAGAAGAAAGTTCATTTATTGAGAATAAGTATACAGATCCAAAGCATTGCTAAGACTGATCAAAAGCGTGCCAAAAGCTGTTTTTCTTACTTCCCCCCCCCTACATCGCCCTTAGTTCTTTGTCCTTTGAATCTCTTGCTGGGGTGACCTTGAGCATGCCAGTGCTTGTGT